CCCATGCATAAGGGTGATAGCAATCCCGTCAGCTTCGACAGCCAGCGCAGTTTCTACGGATAGCTCAATATTTGCCGACGTCACAGACGGCTATATTCGAATATGGGACTCCACAGCTGGCCAGACTCTCATAGTACTCAAAGATGATTTCATCTCTCCTCTCTTATCACTTTCCTCTGATGGCTCAATTGTTGCAATCGGCACTGAGTCGCGGTACATGATTAGTGCTAGTATCCGGCTATGGAGCTGGAGAGTGGGAGATACACCGACCATTTCTCAAAATGCACGATACCGTCTTTGTCACATGTCTATTATTTTCCTCCGACAACTCTACCATTGCCGCGGATGCAGACAACGGAACTGTCCAGTTATGGGATTTAACAAATGGAAACTTATCAGAGTCGAAGATCCTTCAAGGCCATACAACAAGAATCATATGTCTTCAACTCTCTCTTGACGGGTCTACCCTTTTTCTGGATCACTAGATTCAATGGTCCGGCTGTGGGACGTGAGAATTGGAGAACCTGTCTCGGTAATCAATTGTGCAGTTCCTGAGTTTGGATGTTCATGCATGGCAATCTCTCCCGATGGATCCACCATCGTCGTGGGTACAGATGATCACACTCTATGTTTCTTGGATGTGGGAAGCGGAGAGACACTCAAGATATTGGAAGGAGAGCTCAAATGGAAGCAACACTTGCATATCATGTGGATTTGGTATCGACGCAAAATGTCTAATTATGCAGGGGTTTGCGGAAACCTCGAGAATCCACGCACCTCACCGCAGCTTTACGCAAGGACTATATTGGCCCATTTCCCCCGTGTCTGGGACTTTGGATCCACAACTAAACACATAGTCCTCGAAGGTCATTCCGGAGTGGTGCTCTGCTAAGCATTCTCTCCTGATAGTCGGATACTCGTCTCCGGCTCGAATGATAATACTGTACGAGTATGGGACACGATGAGCCGAAAATGGGTTACACAAATATTAAGGGACATTCTCGACATATCACCTGTGTCATTCTCTTCCAATGGTTATATCACTGCTTCAGGTAGCTCAGCTGACGGAACCATTCACGTATGGGGCTTAGGTAATCGATCTATACTAGGCACATTCAAGGTCGATACCAAGCTAGCCAGTGTATCATTTTTTCCTGATAGATATCCTGACAGTACGATCGCGATTGGTACATCCAAGGCTGTAATGCTGTGGGATTGGAGGACGGGATTACGGCGGAACTACATGACGGTCCGAGTCATCCGGATTATATCATTTGTATTTCATTCTCTCCCGATGGTTTTACCATTGCTTTCAGCTCAGCTGAAGGAACAAATCAAGTAGAGGGCATAGACACCGGGAAAATACGCAAATTTCGTACCTCTGGGAAGTTGGGATCGGTATCGTTCTCCCCCGATGGTACAACAATCATTGCGACGTCCACTATCGGTAGGATCGTTTGGGATTGCAGTGATGAGGGCGTGCAAATGTCCGCAGCCACTGTGAGTTCGGAACGTTCAAGTTCTTCGCTTCTTGGATGTTTGATGCAAACTCGGGCCTGATGCCAATCTATGATAGTACTGGTTGTCGAGTGTTAATTATCTCAAATGAGTTAAAAAAACATCCATCGTTTAGGTCTTACGGTGACCATTTTAAGATATTCATGTGTATATCAGATGATCGTAATCATTTGGTTCGACCCAATATGAATGGAGAACTGTGTATATTTACTTCGCCTTCTGTACAATAATTTGATCCAATAAACCCCTGGACCTCAAAGGGTCTTTCTTCAGCAGCCACCAGATGCAGTCCAAGAGAAAGAATTTGTGCAAGTAAAAAAGATTTAAATAACAAGCCCGCACCATATGGTAGGTATTCAAGTTGCCTTTATTCGAGCCAGGTACTTACTACTAAAGTCCCTGGTATTCATCAGATCGATAATTAGTGGGTGTACTGCAGTCAAAGACATGTATTTCACGATTTCCTCTCATACGTACCCCGATATAGATGACATTATTCATCCCCGAAATTGCAGTATTGAGGCCGCTCATTCAACTCAAAGGCAGTATATATTCTCAATTCTAGATTCCAGAGATGACCAATTAAAAAAAATGATTTTTGGCAAGGTATTCTACGCTGCGACCTCTACAATTTTTCCATAATCTCCGAGCTGGAGTGCCATCACTCACGGTTAGTTAGAGGATCAAGAAGGGAACAATGTTTTCCTCAACTCCGAGAGCAGAAGACTATACCTGCCAGGTATTCAGAATATAATTGGTATTGAAAAGACTACAAAGATTGACATGTCCTGCATTATGATGCACTATGCTTCAAGGCTAATTTTAAATTATTCTCGAATGAAATATGAAATACCTGAGAAGGAAGATATCACTTTAACGCGCACGCCGTTCCCACTCATTAAGCCTTCTTCGACCAAGTGAAATACAAATCTGTATGGATCCTCCTCTTGGGATCCTCCACATCCTCATACCATCCTTTCCTAATCTTCTCATTCAATCCAGACTCCACCAAACGCGGATTCAAAACCTCATATGCACCCGAAATCGATTTTCTCAGCGCTTTGCCCAGTCTACCAATGCTCCGATCTGCAATATTTCTTCTCAGTATTCCTATTATTCACACCTGGACGACATCCTACCTTCATGCACTCCATCAAAAGGAGCTTCAACCTTCCGCACATTGACCTCACTGAACACCCCCATATCTTTCAATGTCTCTTCCAATTTCGGGCCGCCCAGCGGATCGACTCCATAAGGCTTGGTAAACTTATGATAAGTATCATAAAATTTCTTTATCCCTGGACCAATATCGCCTTTCATGTTGTGTTCGTTGTCAAGGATAAGTAGCCACCCTCCTGGCCGGAGAAGCTTGGCAAGTTTATTTAGCAGTTGGGGGAAGTCGCGAATCTGAAGGAATTGAGTCAGTTTTTGCTAATTCCACGAAGCGGGAGGGGAAAATGCTCACGTGTACGATCACGAAACGACAATGAATGAGGTCGAATGATCCAGACTCAAAAGGTAGCTCTTCGGTAACCATATTCACAGTCATATATTTGACATTCTTTGGCAACGGTCTAGATAAATATTTAATTAGAACTCCCAGATGAAAACTAGAAATATTTACCGTAAAAGAGTCGGGGAGAGATCAACCGCAAACACCTCTGCCTCCGGAAACTTATGCGCTGCTTCGATTGCCCTAAATAGATTTATGTCCCCATTTAAAACATACTCTTCCAAAGAAACTTTATTTGAGAAATACTCACCAACCGGCACTTCCAGCCCTAATAGAATAGTCATCTGCATCTAGAAGACGTGGGTAGCGATAAATCCACTCACCCTGCATCCAAAATCCTCTTTGGGGTTGGCTCTATTTCTTTCTCGCCGTAAAACAGTTTGTTCCCTAGGAAGTGATGTATCTCCTGATGTAGATCGTCCAATCTAGGGGTGTTATATTATTTAAGATTCAGTCTCTGAGCAAATCCTACTAAACACTTACCTGGTCCAATTCGGGGTATCATTCTCGAAACCCAACTTTATAAGCATTCTAAGGTATCCAACTTACAATATCAAACACTTACAGAAACAGGATAAGGTTCTTCTGTTTTCTGAAACGATCTATCTCCAATTACCGTGGAGCTAAACCTCATTATAGGCCCAGTCGCGACCCTTCGAGTCCACTCCACACCGCCCACCATTCCTCGCGGGGCGTGGGGTGTTAGCGTATGCATTAAGCGTGATATACATCGACTAAGCATTTATGTAGAGAGGTAAATAGGAGGAATTGCAGGTATAAGATAGTGAAACATCGCTGCCTGCAGTCCAGCACGTTCTTAAATACGCATCTAGCGTCGTCATTTGGCTTACCAGTCCGGAAAAAGCAAGCATCCGTGTAACCGTCTTCTCTCGGTATCTTATGAGCCAGTGTGATAGGCTAACGTGTGATTCATCGAATTTCTTCGACCACGTCGATAAAGCAGCAATTCGAAGGTATGTAAAAGTGTATATAAATAGATCATATGACGTCTTGTATTCCTGCAGCTGGAGAGAGATATCCGCAAAGCTGAAAGCTCATTAAGGAACAAGGCCAGTGCAATTTAAGTTATCGGCTTGCATCATTAGTTAGATAATCAGGAAACCAGATACCTCGGGGAGAGGCTCCCGAGCCGACTGAAATTTGGGATTCTTTTTGCATCTTCTGAGAACCACCTTGAACTTCAATCATTACAAATTGGATTTACTGTACACTGGAATCCGGCATTGATAGGATTCTAAGTAAGGTTCGGTGACGAAGTCTTGTGGAGTCCAAGCCAGCTGCGGTTCCGAGTCTAACTTCTACAAATCCTAGTAATACACCAGATTACTTGAGGACGCAACCTAACGGTTTAGGACATATGCTTCCATAATTGATTTGAGGTGAAAAGGATAACCCTCTATTCAACTAATATCCAGGCTTTTGAACAGTAATGGCAATAATATTTTTTCGAAGCACATTTTCCATTCACCTAAATATATCACGAAATCTTAGTACTACCTCTGAAAGCATAATTTCCTTACACCGGAACCATTGGAGCAGGAGGAGGGAGTGTTGCCAGCGTATAGATACATCATCCTGCATCCTTTGATCCCAGGTTGGCATCCGCTAAAAATACAACGTAAGTAGCTCATGATCAGATGAGGGTGCTATTCTGCCAGCGGTAGGTAGACCCTGAGTGGTACAAGGAAACACCCTGTGAACACATCGTATTACGTAGATTCATTAAGCTAACCTGACCAAAGGATCATCGTAACCTTGGTAGCAGTGACATATACAATGTACTAGGTTACTTCTCCAAGAGTCTATTGTAAATAAAAAAGGGCTATATTATATACCGGAAAACAAAGGACTAATAATTTCGTTCTTATTATCAACCTTCAACGCGACCAGGGCTCGATACGAGAATACGAAGTAAAAGCCAGCGCAATCGGCAGTAAAGATACTTTGAGGGCATGTGGTTTAGTGGTATAACATTCGCTTAGCATTCATTGATTTGCCTGCGAAAGGTCCGGCGTTCAATTCGCCGCTTGTCCATAGTTTTTTTGTTATTTCTACCTCATTTTTAGGTGCCCCTTTAATTGGAACAAACCCTCAAGTTGTGACAGAAGACTGCGTTAGATCACTGAAGAAAAATGATGTTAGTGTTCTACTACATATGTGACGACAAAAGAATTGGACAAGCGGCAAATTGAACGCCGGACCTTTCGCAGGCAAGTCAACGAATGCTAAGCGAATGTTATACCACTAAACCACATGCCCACGAGATACTATATCTTACAAGAATACCGCCCGCGGACCTACACTACATCGCAAGACCTTTCACCGCCGAAGGTAAAACTATGTCCCACTGCGAATAATCAATTTGACGTATTCAAAATGGTGCTGTGACGCGAGGGTGATCCGAAAAACAGCTTACAATCAGCCACATCAATCAAATCATGCATTCTGATTAACCAGAGCTGGACCAGAGCCAAGGAAAAAGTCGAGGGAAAACATTTACCTTTGAGCGCCATCTGGCGTCCCAAACGGCTGCGCAGTAATCGCTAAAACACCGATGTCGTAGGAATGCAGAATGTTATTAACGAGCGAAGCGGAGAGCAGTTCTAGATATATATCGGAGATTAGCTTAAGTCCTTGCGCGAAGCACCCCAAGCCGGCCTGAACCGAATACGGTGTCATCATGAGCGGATGCAAGATTCGATGTCATTATGGAGTCTTAGGGAGTCCGAGAGTAACCTTATTCTGATAATTACATAGGCAAGAATCAAGGCGGTATCTATAAGGAAAGGCGTTTGGTCAGCAGAGCTCAAGTGCGAAGGTTATACAACGGTAAGCTCACCATACGACTATCAATCCCTCTTTGCTGCATGTCCTCCAGCAGCCACAGTCAACGTTCCCGGCAATGGTATGTCGCCTATCGAGTACAGCAACCCAACGGATCCCATGACGATTACGATAAGGAACAACACAGTTCCAACAAGGAGAGTGAATTCGCTGAACAGCCATATTAGCATCCCATCAGAAAGAGCAAAGATAGCTGTGGAAGACATACTGGCTAATATCGAGCTTCTCGCACATCCCACCGGCCCAAGTAACATTGTTGCCGCCCTCCTTCAGCGGTGCCTTTCCACATGCGCAGACATAGCATGTTTTACCAGCACGAGTTACGCCAACACAGGATCCTCGCGATGAGCAGGAGCTCGTGGCATTTTGGCAGCCCTCTTCGGATGTGAAGCATGTAGACGTTGAGAAGATGGGTGCAGTCGCAGGGACGGATGGGATAGGGAACGGCGATTGCGGTGGCTGACGACGGGAGAGCTTGGCGGTGGAAGGTGCCGAAGGGGTAAGGATGGCAACCTTGTAGTTGGAGAGGACAGCCTGGAGGCGTATGTTAGCAGATAGTCGCTGAACAGATGGAGAAGGCTACGTACCGTCTTGAGGATGTTTCGTAGATTGTCCACCACTTGCTCGTATAAATCACTTGTCTTGCCGTCCCTTTCAGCGATCTGTTTCAGACCCGTGATGTGTAAACCACCAAACTGGGGGGAAGGCTCATTCTTGAGGTGACGCAAGATGGATTCAGTTGCCAGGAGGATGTCGTCTTGCCCGTCCCGAGTACTCGATTGCCATACTTTAGGATACACATTTGCTGCAGCACGCGTATATCGTCGTAGTAAGGTTGTCGGTTCTTCATCAGAATCAGCCAGTCGAGTAGGCGTTGCGCCGCCAATGTCTACTGGCAAGATGTCTGCGAGCAGATGTATTGAGTGAGCATTTTGGCCTTGGTACTTGCTAGGATAACATACCTTCTTCAGAATCGATGCTCAAAACCAATGCCCTTAAATCTTCCTCTGAATCACCGCTTGCGACGAATCCAGTCGGTTGCCCTAACGGAACTTCCTCTCCGTAGTTCCTTGGAGAATCGAAGGCGTCCAATGCTAATTGTTGGGAAAGGGATGTGGAAAGTGATGACCGATCATTATTAGAATAAAAGTAGACCTGGGTGGATGAAAGAACGGCTGTAGGTAACAGGAAAAGACTTAGGTAGGACAACATGGTTGACGTCGAGGAAGTAGACGCTGGGCGCCCACAGCAGCCCACCCGGCTAACCACCGTCCAAAGGTAGTGATGGTTGTCCCGTATTCACGATACCTGCTCTCTAAAGACTGTCCTTTTAATCCTTAACAATTACCATATCTAATGTTCAGGATCTCAAGGAGATCTTCTTACTACCATGTATCAACCTAGAAGGCGGCACCCAGCCGTGACGTGTTTATTGAACGCTGAGGACGCGGTCAGGTCAGGACTTGTTCTAAATGGCTCCTACTTCTTTCTTACCTATCATAAAGATTCTTCAAATCAAATATCGACCGCCAAAACGATATAGAACATACACTGTCGACTAATTCCCTCAAATACGAAACGTTTACCAATGAAGTCACCGCACTGCAGAACCTCTCGACGACGCTCCTTTTAAATAAGCATTCTATCTCGATTTAATTGAATCCCTGGACACCTTGAAAATGAACATCCGCGTTTCTTTTGTATGATGAATAGAAGCTCGCATGGATTCTGGGCTATTTGTCGAATCGGTGAGTATTAAATACAGGCAAAGCGATAAGTCCCGAATCTTATCTTGACACAGGGTTCTATCGGAAGGCGAAATGCTCATCTGAACTTATTGAAGGCTGAGGAAACGTCGACAACTCTCTTCTACATAACTCCTACTCCTTTCTAATACGTTTAAAAAGATTCCTCAAACCCGATATCGATTACCAAAGTGATACTGAAACATACACAGTCTACTAATTCCTTAAACACGAAATTTTACAAATAAATCCATAACAAAATCACTCTATGATGTTCCTTTTAAAACCTTCTTCAGGTCTTCTATCTCGTCCTCATTGAAGCCCTGGACATCCCGAAGATAACCTTCTGCGCCGCCCCAAGTATCTCTTATATGCTGAATAAAGGCCCGCATAGTATTCGGACTATTTGTCGACTCGGTGAGAATTAAATATCAAAGCGATGAGTAACGAAGCTTACCTTGAACCCAATAGGCGTTCGGCACCCAGAGGATTAGCCCGTACGGCCTCGTTATCCTGGAACTAATCGCATTCTTAGCTACACTTGACAGAAACATTAAACTAAAAATACCATGGTCGCAATTATATACTTGTATGGGGCAAGCCCAACCGTCGTCATAGCATAATCTTCAATAATGGTCTCGTCTTCGGTTCCTGCAAGCTATGAAAAAGATTAAAATAAATGCGGACGTTAGGGAATGACCTACTAAAAGTGCTAGAGCCGTCATAACACCCGTTCTGTCTTTTCCCGCTAGAAAAGAGTCGCTGATTATCGCCACACGATGCAGAATATATGACAACATACCACTACAATGAAACAGGATTGCGTCGTCTCCCTTCCTTTCAAGTATTCTTCTCAGAACCGCCCCAATTCCATCCTTTCCGGACGTCAAATATTTGTGATACCATTGCACCCATGTCCCTGCTTCATCAGCAGTAAGACGCTCCAAATTCTCTCTCATATAATCGGACTCGTATTGCCCAAACCCTCCCCCTTTGACTTCATCAACCGTTTCAAATCTCGTATCAAGATCAAGCGGCGCTTTTACCGTTTGAATCCCGGGTATATGCTTCACTGGCGACTTAAACTTGACTACATCACTCGGAGAACGGAAGTCAAATATCGTTTTGACGTGAAGATTCTCCAACTCCAAAACCCCTGCTGGAGTAAGCCTAGAAATGTCGCCTGAACGCAAGAGCCATGGTTTTCCGGAATATGGGAGAGGAACTGGACGACAGTTGAATACACCAGGGATAACGATGAAGGGAGGTGATAGATGAGGTCCGTCAGGGACTTGAGGAATTTGAGAAGTCATTGGTACGTGCACTCAGTTAGATCGGTTCTGGCTTTTATGTATCACCGGGGGTCTCGATCCAGTCGATCGTTGCCTTTGTTCTGCACTTGTTCGTTTTCACTTATTCGTTTCCGAGGTCAGCTCAAGCGTCAATGTAGGGTTACGCCGGCTTCCCATCAACTTCGTCGTTGTTCGGACCCGACTAACGTTTGCAGATCCCAGTATGTCGAGGGAACGACGGAGCCAGGATTGGGGAAGAAGATCGATTGTTGTGATTTCCAAAGATATCAATTATTATGCAATTGCCTGGACACATTTGATCTTACTGAGGTAAACCGTGATGTGATTGGCGCAATCCAGAGTCGATTGGTATGGTTCGGCTATCGGGTGATCAGATCGCCCTTCCGCCAGATGTGCCGACACAATGCCGACGCCCGAAAACTCGTCGTTGACCACGATTCGAGTTTTCAGCAACACAGTTTATCCTGTTATTCAGTGCGGTGGGGAAAAAAATTGTATTCCGTACTACGCGAAACAAGCGCTCGGATTGAAGCGGCTAAAGCCTAACAAAGCATCTGGCAGGTATCTGGGTATATGCTGCAATTGCTGATCAACCAGAAATCACACAAGTCATTTTACTATTAGAATTATTAAATGCTTTCGGAAGCATTACAATTAATTTCCAATTCCCGTTACAGTCAAAGAATACTTCGATGTCGGAAAGGCTACACTGGTGCCAGAGTGCAATACATTGAAATATATAGAAAGAAATTCGCATTTCACGCGTTGAGCTACTCTAATCCAAAATTTGATGCAATCAGTTTCATAAACCAGTCCTCCAAGGTCAATCCATGGCCTTTGAAATTTTATAATACATGGCAGATAAAAGTAAACTGGGATAACAGTGCCTTTTATTATCTACTGAGATTCCCTGTCAGATTCCCTCCATCCCTTCTTTTAATTATCCATTAACTACTGGTTATATTATTTAAGCTGGTCAACACTTACTTACAAGATTCTCAAGACCTCCTACAGACGGTGATAATCTGGCAGTGAGGTGCCGAAGGGATATCGATGGCCGGAAAGAGTACGACTCAGATCCCGATTGCCGAACCGTACCAATCGACTCTACAAACTCGTCAGTGCACGATCG